TATTAAACCTATGCAAGCTAAACAACAGATCATCTCTAGAACTGAAAATAATGAAAGGATCTCAGAGTTCATTAAAAAACGAAATGATAATTTCAAAAACTACCCACCAAAATGATTGACTCTTGTCTCGAAAGGAATAGAAAAGCAATTATTCTTGATCGAATCATGATTCACGCAGATATACCAGAGCAACATCTAGAATTAATTCCTGATGAAATTAAAAAGCAAACAGCTTTACACTTTCAAAACATTGCTGGATCAACAAATAGAGACTTCTCATTGATTCAGTCACATAACTTCAATTTAAATTGGAACAATTGGGAATGTCATTATGACACTATTGAAACCATTGATAATGATTGCTACGACAGCATCATGAACATCCCTACTTATGATGAATAGTTAACAACAATAAAACATTTACCGGATAACAAAGCCTCTAGCCCTTCTAAAATTACAAATGAAATGCTCAAGAAACTTGGTCCTAAAATGAATCAGTTTTTATATACTATCATCTGTGTATGTTTTATTAGTTCACTTACTCCTGCACAATAGAATCTTGCATACATATATCCGATTCCTAAACCAAAACCTTGGAACTGTCAGCTTGATAACACACGTCCTATTACCCTTTTGGACACAGTGAAAAAGTATTCGTAAAGATTTTAAATCAAAGATTGCAAGATATTTTCATAAAGAACAACATACTCAAAGGCCTTAACTTTGCTGGTTTACCTCATCAATCAACCATGGATCCATTACATATAGTTAATAATATTCTCAAATATCATCGGTTGAATAACAAATTCAACAAATCCAATCGTACTAACTTATATATTCTCTTTCCAGATATGTCCAAAGCGTACAATCATGTTAACATTCATATGCTCAGAAAAGCGATGGCAAGATTAAAAATTCCTTCGGAACTCACTAACGTTATCACAAATCTTTTTTGAATCAAAAAACTCAGTTTTTACCGCATATGGCAACACATATCCTTATGATGTTATAGTCAGAATTGATCAAGGAGAAGTCATTTCTCTCTTGCTATGAGTCATATATTATGACCCTCTTTTATCACATATTCAAAAGTCTAATTATGGATACAAAATGTCCGTTATATGGCAGCCAGACATCACTAAAACTGACACATCTGAGATCACTGCACATATACCAAACTCTGCTTACATGGACGACACAATATGGATTACAGATAGTTTGTCTAATCTTATCAAAATATTCAACATTACTCAATTGTTTTTTGACCTGAATTCAATAAAAGTCAATCATGACAAATCTTTTATTCTCACTTCAGAGGCAACTGAAGTAGACATTTCAATATTCAGTAAATTTATCAATCAACCTGTATCTTTTCCAACAAAAAAACCTTCTGAATCAACAAGATATCTGGGCGTTTAGATCTCTGCAAATTACAACAAATCTTATATCAAAAAACAAATTAAAGATGAAATCACTGACTTTATCTTAAAACTAAAATACAACCCCTTGACGAACAAACAACTCAAATATATCTTTAATATGGTTCTTATTCCTCGTGTTGAATATTGATCCCAATTAGTCATTTTCTCATCTAAAGAATGTCATGCCATCTTTTCTCAAGTTAGAATTTTTCTCAGACACAAACTGAAATTTCCAAAATCTACATCTAATAGTATATTGAACAGTAAACTTACAAACGGCTTTAATGATTTTGCTGCCAATATAATACATTCAAAATTTAACATTTTGCTATTATGATTAATGGGAATACTGCTTCATCTTTACTTGCAAAGACCACAGAAATCAGACTTAAACAATTGCAAAATTTTTACTGACTCTATAATAATCCCTTAATTTGTTAGCTTGCACAGCTAAATAATCTTTGATATGATAACTTTCTTGTAAATATCATATCCTATTACCTTCAATCCAATATATCTTTCACTAATACCAACTTCAACAATGATAAATTTGCAATCAAAGGGGGGTAATCCCTCTACAAAAAATTATTCCTTGGAAGAAAAAGTGAATTAATTCTTTGCGATACAAATAGATCCTCTTTTTAAATCAATTATTATGTAATGAAATTTTCTTATCGCAATTTAGAGATCTTGCCATACAAGTCAACAATGATCACAACACTGTCAAAGAAAGCTATCTACAATGGTACTCTTATTTAGAACAGATCATTCACATAAATCCTGTACATTCCAATAGAATCAAAGAATAATATATTATCACACCATTCACCCCTTCAGGTTTCAAAATATCATTGCCTCTAGATTCTAACAAAGTTTCTGACTGGATCGCTCTGTGAACCCCTCCAGAATCAAACTATTATAATTTTCCATATTCTGGGCAAACCATATTTGGAAAATCTTTTAAATCTCCGCTTTTTCCTGACAAAGTTCTTTTCCAGCATTTTGTCCCTTCTAATTTGACTGCTGACCAAAGATCTCCTTCAAAAAAACAGAATATGTTAACAGCTTGTGTTGGATGTATCTTCAACAATGATCTCCAATAAAATTGTCTTCCCGTCGCTGCACAATGACTATTTTGTGGTAATTTGGTTAATATAAATCTCCCTCAACTCATACAAACCAATTATTTTACATCGGTCAACTCAAAAAAGCTTTATTTGTTAAAGAGAAATATCAAATCAGTGTCCGATCAAGTAATTCAAAGATATCTGGATATGAGACCTAATGTCATATCCAATCACATAATACATAGTAATTCTCTTCCCTTTTGTACCATTGAATCTTTAATACCTATCTCATTGACATGTCTTCTTCTTAACCAGTTTAAATTTAACCTGAAAGATGAAACCATACTCACCTTCTATACTGATGGTTCACACAAATTTTTTCCTCATTTTACTTCTTCTAGTTTCCATTTAAGTTCTGCTTTTTTACTTGTACACAACAACTTTAATATAGATTTCACCACTGCCATTCCATCTTTTTGGGCTAACTCCACTAACGCTGAAATTTTTGCTTTACTTTTAGTTTTGCTTATCTGCCCTTCTAATTCTGAGATTAATGTTTGCACAGATAGTTTGACTCTGATCCATTTATATAACAAAATTCACAGAAAAAACGCTTTTAATTATCTATCATTGATGTTCAAAATACCTTTTAACATTTATTGGTCTTTTATTTTTAAGCTCATAGATGAATGAAATATTTCCTTAATACTAAAAAAGTAGCTACGCATTCTGACGATCCATATAACCACAAAATTGATCAACTCGCTAAATCCTCTTTATTGTCCTCACCTATATCTTTAATTTTTAACCAAACTCCTTATTTTTCTTACATTCCAACATTTAACAACATGCCTATTTTCACTACACTTCGACCATTTCTTATAGACTACACTAACACTAAACAATTTATTGATTTCTACTATTTAAAAAGAAACAGTAAATATAGTCTACTCCAAATAAATTGGTCCTTAACTTTTGAATTCATCAAACTTAGCACTCCTACTGAAACCTCTTTCAAAGAATCTCAAGCACATTGCAGAAGACTCAAATTTCTTTTTAAACAAATTCCCACAATAGAATTCATGAAAGCAACTCAACTTACTATTTATAACTCATCATGGATGTGTTGTCGTTGTAATACTGACAAAAAACACTTTAATCACATATGGATTTGTACTAAAGTGAAAAAAGAGATGAAACAAATCATCACTGCCACTCTTAATATTCTAAAAAATCAACTCTTCATTCATACTTCACGAACAGTCTACCCTCCTGACATAAATTCATTATTAATCCCATCACATCCTTTTTAGGTTTTAAAAGAGGATCCTTACAACATTACGTTCATCGATTTCATTAAAGGCATTATTCCTACTGCTCTTCTGAAGTTACTCGACTCTTTTACCAACTCTTCCTTTCACACCTCTAAAATCCTTTTCCCATTTTATGATTACATTTTTGATCAATCCTATAAAGTCATCTGGAAATCTAGATGTACAGCTACTATAAAAAAAGAACGATCTCTTAACATCTCGAAATATAGCAAAAAATGAAATTATAGTCCTTCTAATAATTTTTCTATAACAGTTATTCAAACTTATTGTTATCTTTACCTGAATATAAATATGATCATACTTCCCTTATGACCAAGTCTTTTGTTCACAGACGAAAATGGTCCTTCTTCCTAACGCAGTAATAACTATTTGTCAAACGTTTTTCTCTTTAGTTGGGTGGTGATGGTAATTCTACTAGTGATTATTACCGGAGCCTAACGGGATAACCGGTTGGTCTGATTGGAGTTAGTCTACTAATGATGATTATTAGGCAGTATTTTTTATTTTTCTACATTTGTACACTTTTTAGGATTTTCATGTTTTTATTAACTGATTATGAATTTTTATAATAAATAAATGCATTACTGCGTCTTTAAAAAAAAGCTGATCCAAAATCAATGAATGTTAGCTTATTAGATTCGTCTAGTTGTAAGGAATTGAATGATAGTATTTTCATACAAATCGGTACGATATTGACCGAGATCTTACATCTTTTGTTTTTATTTTGTTTTTTCTATATATAAAAAATCATGTAATATGATCTAATTTTGACCATTTCAACTTTTCATTTCGATTTTGACCTCCAAAGTCGAAATATTTTGACTTTGGGTTTTCATCTCGACTTCATGTATAGAATGAGTATAAATCATCTGAAGCAGTTTTGAAATTATTTTCTTGAATAGCTTAGATGGCTTTTTTTTCTCTCGTATAAATTTGTAAATATGACTTTTTTTTGGTATGATAATCCTGAAAAGGGAAAGCTTTAATGTGTTTCATTTTAAATGATTTCACAATACTAGAGAGAATTTTGCTCATCTCTTCTTCACATTCATCTGGAGTCTTTTCATCTGATATGAGAATGTCAAAGAAAACTTAAATATTTATAAGAATTACCAGTACCTTTTAGCTATTAATAAGATAAAGACGCAATACATAGCGGTATATTCTATTTATCCTTTCTATTGATCCTTCATTCTCAATGGCCATAAATAGAATATTTTGTCATTATCTTCAAGAATTAAAGATAATCCCTCATCATTTCTTGCAACTATATCATTCAGTATTTGGATATCTAACAAGTTTTTTCACCAGAATAGCGAATCAGTTGGCCTTTCATTTTATCTTTTCCAACCTTTGGGTGAAAGGTAGGATAGAGACGTTGAGAAACTCTAAAAGCTCAGATTGGATCATGATATTATATCACAAATATACAGTTTGAGAGAAACTATATACTTCAGAAGAAAAAAGTTTAAAATGAAAATTAATTTCAAAATATATAAATTGATACATAAACCAGTTATACATAGTTATTAAAAAATGGCATTTTATCGATGTCCATATATTCTCAGGATCAGAGAAGTTTGCAATCAGGGATGCTACTGATCGGAAGGATGCTAAATTCATTGGAATTTTCTCTCATATGTACCTTATAATGAATGCGGTAAATTAACCTTTTCCAAATATAACACTTGTGATATTCATACTAGAAAGCACTGTAAAATGGAATAGTACTATTGGAAAAAGCTGGCTGATTTAGCTTCGATACAGGAACTAGTGGGCAATTAAGTATAAATAGAAGTGATGCAAAATATATAGGTTATTTTAAATTACTTGTGAAAATTTTCAGGAACGAGTTAGAACGTACCAGTTAAACGATGTCAAACTAGCAATCATGCTGATTTGAGTATATTTGCTAATTCAGACACTTAATATGTAAAAATAAAGAGCAATCAGCATTTATTACAAATCAGGTATAAATTAAGTAATTAACAGATTGGTGTTTATCATTATTCTTCTTAATATTTATTTATACAATTAATTATATAAAAATTCCGGTTGATGTTTATTTAAATATTTAATAAAACTAAGTTCTGATTTACTTAGTATACATGCCGGATGGACAATATTAATTAAATAAGTAACAATAGTTTATTAAGTAATACAATATAAAGCAACTACATATGAAATTATCTTCTAATTAAAATAACAGCTATAAATGCAATAGGATTTCTTTTACCAATTTTGAACTTTCTAGATATAAAATGACTAAATATATTGTACACTGGTATAATATAGTCTCTACTAATGTTATAAAAATCTTTTCTCCAAATTTCTATATTACAGCTCTTAATATTATCATCAACTTGACAATAAAATCTTGTCTGGTGAGATAGAATCGACAAGAACCATCTTACATATGCCAATCAATGAATTTGCTTCCCTTCAGGTAAATTAATTTTATGCTCAAAGAAGTATTGAACTTGACCAGAAAAATATTTAACTGAATTATTATCTTGCACAAACTTGGCAATAATGAATGAGTTTTTTAAATATCGAGACGTATTTGCTGATCCAAAAATTTCGGCTCCCATTCAGATACATCCGTACTGATTAATCTGAGGCTGAACAATAAATCTGTTGATAGAATGTTCAGTAGTTTTCATAGTTTTCTGAGCCAATTCCATAATAGACAAAAATTCCAGGTCATAAGCGTCATTGTAATAATTCACTAGAATACTATATATATTATTTAGCAAATTGACATTAATTTTTCAAGGAAATAACATCTCACCAGCGAAAGGTTCAGTGTCAGTAATTGTATCTTTAGTCTCGAGTCGATAAATCTGCCTAAAACGAACTATTTCAGCATACTAAAAATTATCATAGGCTGCTAAGCTTCCTGAAGTAACCCATGGTTGTATTCAATTCTGGTTCTTTGATAAGCTTTATATTATCTGATTGAGCAAATAGAAGATTGTCAAGTCGCCAGTTTTGCATAATTATTCGTAATAATTCTAGCTCGATTTGATGATGACTATTTGGAAAGAAGCCTAAAGAAAGCAAATAAATATTCTTGGTAAGAGTTATAAAAATTTATTTTTTATAATATGTATGTTAACTTACCCAAAATCCTGTTTATTCTTTCAAAAGAGTAATACCAGAAAGAATATAATGGTCTATAGTCCTGATAACATTCGACTATATGAAGTGACAAATTAATGTTCAGAGTAATTACTTTCGAGCCATAATACTCTTCAATTAGTTGAGCAATTTGAAGTAGTCGTGATTATGCTTTATCTAATACATTATTATCTATAATGCATGAAACTAATAAAGAGCAAGTCCTAATAAAGTTTGCTAAATTTTTCCGGTAAGATTCTGATAGTATATCCCACATTAATGAAATCGCATAAATTAAAATAAATATTTTCCATTGATCTGCAGTAAATCTGGAAAACCCTTCACCAGTTGCTATTTTGTGTGGAATACTTTCACGATCAGCTGGGATTTTAATATTTTTTGCGCGTCTTTTCATTAGCTTGAGATGTGGTTTTAAGATTATTCCACCATTAATCCATAATCTCTTTACAATCCAATGAGCAATTTCTAAAAATAAATTGTGCATCGAGTCGACAATTAAATGTCTCACTGGATTGTGATAAGGAAGACGAAGCAGTTTGAACTATCTAATATGAGTCCTACTGACATGTTGCTTCCTGTCATTTTCTGTCTGCATATGCTTCCAAAGCATGGTATTATGTCGATGCTCTACTGGATCTCTTGTTCTAAACCAATCACTCATATCATTGAACCTGCCAAAATTTAGTCTTTGACCCTCTTCATTATTCGCTCTTTTATAGCACCTATGATATCCAGCCAATGCGGATATATGGTCACATAATTTTTTTGCTACAGGAATGTTATTACTGCAATAAATTATGGCTAATCAGACCTTTCTACTAGTAGGAAATTTATCGGTAGCAGATAAATAAACTCCATCCTAAAATTCCAGCAATTCGTCTACTATTGGAGCAAGATAGTAATTTATCTGATGTAATTTAACCTCGTTTGGACCTGGTAAAAGATCAAGAGTCAACATGTTCTCCTTTTTAAATCAAACATCCTGTGGTAGATTACAAAACACACCATATATCGCTCTAGTGCTATAGGATGTCAAATCAAATGGTTAGAACCAATCTAGGTTTATCATGATACCTAGATGCGAATCTGCAATTTCGGCCATAAAAAATTGGGATGGATGCAAGTCATTAGTATTAAATGGAAATGTTTTCCATATTTTACCATCGTAAATATCAGACATCAAACTAACTTCATAATCCCGATTACCTATTTATTCAAAAGTTCTTCAAAGCCTAGTCTTTGATACATTGTGGATAATTGAGTTTTTAAACATGGCAATGAATATACCAACTTTGGTTACCAAATATATCCATTATTTGCCAGAACCTTTGTTAGTAATTCTGCCCCACAAGATTTATGTTGATTCTGCATCGGATGGTTAGAAAATTCAATATAAATACATTTAAATCCTGAATTCACATTTCCACTCGAATTTACAGGAATTATAGTTACAATATCATACAATTTGTTATAATTTGAATATGTTGCAAAATTTTTTGACTTTTTTTAATTTCTAGTATCTTTCTAGCTATATAAGCAGTCGATAGAAAACTATCGAATCGATTTGGATCAACATCTTTCAAAATAAGGCTAAAGAAGCCAATTAATGAGTTAATTGTTACATCAGGAAGTCTAAACCTTTCTTGATATTTGAAAATTCAGAAAAGAATCCATAAATCACTTATGTTCATATTATGATATTCTTGATCTGAATCATAATTAATATTGCGAGAATCAGGGGATGTAAATAATTTAATCAGAATCTTATCGTCAAAGAATGGTTCATGATCGGCATCATTATCATCATTTGATAAATAAGAATCTTTCTCACTACCGGAGCTAACTACTTGTTCAAGTTCTTCATCTGGAATGATGAGAGTATGATCATAGATCATTTGATATTGATTATACTTTTTTCGCTTTTTTCTAACGTTAATAGGTGAAGTAAAGAATTCTTTGACAAACTGATTGTGATTGTTATCAATTATTTCATTATCATCATGAAATTTTGAAAGGATCTGTACTGATCTGTTGAATTTTAACTGAAACAGATCTAGAATATTTTCTTGAATCAGCTAGAATGTTTGCTTTTTCGTTGCCTTTCTTTATTTCATATATAGAAGTTTGAAGCTGATTATCTTCCTTTCATAACTTTTTCTTGTTCTTATTTCAACAAGTTTGCCATTACATTTCTTACAATAACATTGTACTTTTAGTCTATCTCTAGTAGGTTTAATAAATTTAGAAGATATCAGATTTTTATTTCATTTGTGAATACGAGAACGAGTTAGCATATGTTCAAAATATTACATTAAATATAATGTATATATATATGCATTCGTATAAAGTTTATTTAAAGTTTTATATTCACTCTGATATTTTAAAATAGTTACTTATAAACTACATAGTTCTAGAATTCAGAATTCGTTTATTTATAACTTAATTATATAATACTTATAATAAAATGATATTTTTTATAATATTCCATAATCTTTATTGACTGAATTCTAACCAAATTTATACCTAATGTCAGCTTAAATTTGATAGTTCAAAATTTTCTATTTTAAATTATTTAAAATTATCTTAATATTATAAATTGACAAAGTTTGATCAATGTTAAAAAAAATGTTATAAAATAGTCAGAATTATGGATCGGTAATATGCAAAGATCTTAATGCAGGCTAACGTGATATTTTTTGATATGGTAATACAAGAGAAGTTAATAACAATGGTATGTGATGCAATATGATATAAATAGTTCGTGTAGTTTATTAATCAACTTATAAACTTCAGAAAAATTTTGTGATGTAATTTTGTAAATTAAATAAACTGCTTTTAATACCTACTGTAAATATAAAAGGTCTCTGAATATTTTTCCTGATCTGTTTTTACTTTTTATGTATCAACAAACATGACTCGTAAAAACTATAATTATTCTTCTAGTTATAGCAGAGATAGAAATTTTTCAAGAAGTAATAAGCAAAAGAAAAACCATAACTGTTCTTTTGATTATAGTAGGGATAGAAGTTTTTCAAGAAGTAATGAACGAAAGAGAAATTATGATTATTCTTCCAGTTACAGCAGGGGTAGAAGTCGCTCAGAAAGTAATGAGTGAAAAAATAACCATTTTTTTGTTACAACAGATGTAGAAGCTCACGAAAAAATAAAACAGTATAATAGAAACCGGTAAGATAATTTTAATAAACAATAATTTACTTAAAACTTTTTTATTATTTCCTGTAATACAATAATAAAGTAAATATAAGCATTCTTACCACTATTAATATTCATCTTATGATTCATCTTTTGAGGATTCAGATTCGGCTAATTCATTATTATTTGAAAACCAATCAAATAAGTATAATAAACGACTATATAGTTACGAAGAACAAGACTCAGGTAAGTTTAAATTACCATCAATTGTATTGTTGATAACACAAAGATCATAACATATCAATTTATTTATTTTAACTATAACAGTTGCATTATCTGAAGGAGTCCAGTACTTAAACAGAATGATTAAACGAGAAAAGCTTAAAAAGGCCAATTCTGAAATTACAATGGAAAAGGAAAGATCATTAGTCAAGGTTATTCAGGCTCAAAATCAGGAAAAAATTAGAAAATCTGTTGTCAGTACATCTAAAAATACCGAAGCAGGACCTTCAACTTCATTTAAAATATTGGAGGATATGCCACAGGAATCGAATTCTAACATTAAAGATCGTTTTTATCTTAAAACTCTGGATTTCTTTTTAAATGAAGGACATAATACTCCTGTTATACCTTTAAGACTTATCACTTCAAGACCAATATGAATTCCAAAAATTAATTTTCTGAGCAGCGTATTACCCATATTACCATATCAAAATTATAAGTATAATAATAATTACACTAACTCTGGTACTGATACTAACATTAATATTGGCACTGGTACTGACACTAATACTAACACTAAAAGTAGAGATATCAAAAATGATAAGGATCAGAAAAATATGAAAATCACCACTGATCCAGGTCGAGATTTTTCGATTCTGAAAGTGAATCTGATTGAAAATCCTTTAAATCTGATCAAAGGTTTGAGTCAGATTGAAGTTACTCTAAATCCAGTCATAGATATTCTAAATCTAGTCGTAGATATTCTGAATCCGGTCATAGATATTCTGAATCTGGTTATAAATATTCTGATTCTGATCGAAGATCTTTCTCTGTCTATTATAGCATTCCAAAATATTTATTCTTTAAAGACATGCCTGAAGACTTTAAAAATACTTTGAAGGTAAGTAAATTAATTTATTTGATTTGATTTATAACGATAAAATTTTATTGATACAATTAATATAATTTTAAAGAGAAGTATTTTGGATAATTGAAAGGATCCCTTCTGAAAGTTAGTTGGATTTGAATCATTACTTTTGATTCATAACGTACCCTCATCAATAATATGATTATACTAACTGTAATGTTAGCTCTAGACCCTAAAACCTTTCCAGTCACTGAAGCTATCATATATAAAATGATTCACGCTCACCACAAACATTAACGTGAAGAATATCTGAAAAAATCATGATCACAAGAGTTTCATTTCATAATAAGAATGCTTGACATAAACATATGATCTGTCGCAGAAATAAGGTAAGTAATATTATATATAATATTTGTTTCGATAACTAATTAATTTTTCTATCATTAATTATAGAAACGGGCAACAAGAGCCAGAATGATAGAGAAATTACAAATGATCAGTGATCCTTTAATCTGAAATTTTAAAAAATGTGAACTTCAATAAATCAATGAAGATTCAGCATATCATTCATCAGAAGTTTCTGAATCAGATGTAGAGAATCCTAATAAAAAAA